GAAAGTGGCCAGAAAACAGACACGGTCTGTAATACCTACCAGCAGTAGGTAGCTAGGAGCACCCCCGAGTGCAGTGAGCCTGCAGTGCTGCGTGTTCAGTGTGGGCAGGGAGGCACTGGATGCAGTTTGCACAGGGGAGCAAGCGAGTGCGCGGCTGTGCCAGTGAGCTGGGAAAGAGATCGAGTTGGTGCAAAGACAGAGCTTGCCAGAAGTAGTGGTGCCTGTGGGGCTGGGGTGGGGGTAGCTGTTCTAAGTGGAAAAAAGTCTTGCCATGCTTCACCTCCCTCCCCACCACTTCACTCCTTTTTTTCTCCAGTCAAGGCCCTTTCTATCCTATGACCTCTCCTAGTAGCCATCACTGCTTAGGCCCATTTCTCCACCTCCTTGAGCACAGGCCAAGAAGCCTCTCACTTTCCTGGTTTTCAGCCATCATCTCAGTGAGTGCCAGTGCCTGGAAGGAGGGCCTTGGCCATGCTGAAGAAATGAGGCTGATGATAGAGGGCACTGCTTCCGCAGGGTTTGATGCTGCCTGTGCTCGGTGGAGAAGAAAAGGTAGAATAAAAGCCTGTGGTCCTGCCCCAAGCACCACAGCACATTGCCTGCTGCTTTCTTGGGGGAAATGTGTGATTGCCATTGCGCACTATTTGACCTCCAGCTCAGTACAAATGCCATGACTTCAGCAATTGCACCTACTTGGAGCGCAGGACAGCTGCTGTGATGCTTGCTACACTCTTGATGTCACTGTTGGGTTTAAGCCAGTAGTCTATTTTATAATTAGAGATTTTGTTTTTTCATTGGAACAACGTCAAGGTTTTTCTCATCACTAGCTCATGTTTATTCCCTGCACCAGGGCCATGGAGACTGCGGAAGAAAAATGGGTCAGGGGAAGAGACAGGCGAGTCCCTACCAGGCCCACCTACCCAATCCTCAGCAGCGTTAAGCTCACAGCCCAGGTGTGCTGGGAATACCTTTTCCTGGGGGAGAAGAACAAAGTGAGTGCCCGGGGCTGCCTCCCTGCCCTCCTGCAGCAGGCACAACCCCTGCTTTCCGCCCACCCCCTGCGTGTCCCCAGCACTGAAACAGAGCATTTCCTAAGCACAATAAACATTCCTCTGCCTGGGTTAGTTTTTACATATCTGTGTTTTATTTCTTGTTTTGTTTGAAATGACCTGTACCACAAGAATACAATTTATTTAACAGGTTTTTTTTCTTTTTTTAGGAGCAGATAATAGTTGATTAAAGTAGATAATGTTTATTTCACTGTCTATAACTCCCTGCATCATTTTCACAGACTCTGTCTCTCTGGCTTCCCCATATAACCCAGCCACAAGAAGAACAGAGTGGCCTTGGCCATACGATTGATTATAGCTTGTGGATACAAAGTGGAAGCTCTTTTTCTCAGCTCCAATTGGTAAGAAAAGCTCAACAAGTTACATTCTAGGGTCTTTCTCAATGACGTGCCCCGTGTAATAGCTGCTTACACTTTTCTGGTGCAGCACATTTTATTTTATACGTTTGTAATACTTTAAAAAATGATGACTTAGCTTATAAAGAGAAAAATAATGCCCCCTTAGCATGAACAATACTGCAAGAGTCTGACTGTTGTGTGTGTGGAAGGGGGGGGCAGTTCCTGTAGCTTCACAGTTTTGCTGCAAGGTATAATGCCCAAGTTTCCCCAGAAACCCAGTTCTGTGTGGTATTTTACCCCTTTTTTTTTAATTGATCCCCATGAAATTTGTTTTGCATTGCAGGCCAGGGAATGCTGTTCCCAGAGAAGAATATGCCCAAAACAGAGGAGCAGGTCGCTTGGGAAGAATTGCCTTTTGTAGTTGCTGACAGGTATGTGGTTTCTGTTATCTGCATGTGCAAATCAGGGGTTAGAGCTGCTTTTATTATAGATGCTGGATATGGCCTACATGCTTATTCATTGTCACTGATACCTCTGCAGCTTTGCTTTGCTTTGTTTTTAGTCACAGAGGCCATTTGTGTCCCAAGGCCTGGACTCCATGATCTTTTGCCAGTACAGGACTCTGGCTCTGTGACTTCTAAACTATGAACGAATGGTGCCCGACCCCCATTTCATAGTTCATGTCTTTTTTCTTTTCCTTTTTTTTTTTTTTTGCCTTCACAGAACATTTTGTAAGTAAATATGAAAACTCAAAGACCTAAACAGTTGCTGAAGCCTCGTTTCCTACTTTAAAGTGCACTGAGAGGACTAGACTAAGATAATATTTCCCTTCTCTGCAAGCTCAACTCACTGGCCATCCGTGTTTCTCAGTTCAGGCAGCAGGACTGCTAGTGCTAGTGATGTGCAGCAGATCAGAGGAACGGGGCAGATGCGTGTCCTTACTGCACTTGCCTGATGGGACAGAGACACCTGACCTAGTTCCCAAGTAAAAATAGTACAAGCCTTTTATGGGTTAACTCAAGCCATGTGTTTCTGTCCCAGTTCTTGCAGAAAAGTTTACATTCCTTGCTTAAAGAGAGTAGTATATGCTGATTATTGCCTGGTCCAGTTCCCATCCTAGTTCAGAAGAAATGCAAATAGGGCCTTCCAGGCCTGTTATCTACAAGCAATGGGAAACACTCAGATGAACTCCAAGATTATGCAACTATAGCAGAGAAAGAGGGTCCCTTAGCCCTTCCTCAGAAAGTTTACACTGCTATATGTGCTGATTATTTCCACCTAAGGAGGAGAAAGGCAGGAAGGTCTGTTAAACATGGTCCATGGCTTTATATTGCTTTGCTAAGGCAAGAGTTGCCTCTATATAATAACCCTACTCTAACCAGCCAGCAGTCACTGTGAGCTAAAAGCTAACTCAGCAGCTCTCCTTCGTAGTCATTTTTTTACAGCTTGTTCTCCTTCCTGTTCTAGAAAATTGGTTCCAAGTAAACGGCAAACAAGCTGGAAGGGTCTTTTTGTTTGTGGTTTTTTTTTTTTTTCCCTAAATGACCATGAACTGTCCTGTCAGGGCCCAAAAGTAGTAAAAATTGCTCTCAGGGTCTTTTCAGCCTAGTTTGGGACAGCTATCTCTGCACACCTATGAGGCAGAACAGGACACAGTGTGCTAGGTCTGGGATAAGCGAGACCCAGCACTACAGTGGTGCAGTGAGTTCAACCTTCATCCCATAGCACAGTCCAGAATGTTTATGAGAGTGTTTGTGCCTCAGCCAGAAAGACTTGCCAGGTTGCCACAAATGGCAAGCTGGCTCTACCGTGCAGGTCTGCACTGCTCTTTGGCCCCGTCAATCACAGATGGGTATGGCAGTTGTGAGCACAACCAAAACCTCTCCCTTTCTCCCCAGATGCCTCTGGGAGAAGCACAAGTACCTGTTCAAAGCACAAGGCTCTTGTATCTTGTTCCTGTATGAGTCTGTGAACAGTCCCAGATCTCATGTGCCTCCTACCCCTTTGGTCTTTCTTGGTTTTCTAAAGTGCCTGGAGCAAGGCCCAGTTTTTTCATGAAGTGAGTACAAAATGGGTGAGAAGAGCTAGGTCTGTGTAGTGTAAAGATAACTTGGAGGACATTGAACTGAGATAGCTCAGAGGGTTAGAAATCAGCTAACCCAGAGGGGGTTAACTGCAACAGCCCAGAGCTAAGCATCGGCTTGCCCAGCCTCTCTGTTAGCGTGGGTTTTGTTCAGCCCTGCACAGGGACACATTCTGCTCTGGTAGAGAATAAGCAGCCAGCATCTCCCTGATCACACACCTCCACCTTGATTTGGAAGGCTTCCTGCTAGGGGGTTACTCACCTGCCACATCACCTTTCTTCTGGGATGGCCAGGAGGGGATGGAAATGGAGGGCAGCAGGGGAGAACACATAGTGTGTTGCATCTCTAATAGATCAGAGGCTGTTTTTTCCCCTCTCCTGCCATGTCACTGACCACAAAACTGACAATATATTCAGCTTAGGCTGGCTCAGAATTAAGTGACCTAGAAAATAAAAATCACTGAATGCCAACAGCCATTTTTGTCAATCACCCAAATTCCCCTCTGGCTATTGGGAACACAGCA